TTCAAAGCTGTGCCAGGGAGGTTCAGACTGGACCTTAGGAAGCATTTCTTTACTGAGAGGGTGGTCAAACACTGCAACAGGCTTCCTAGAGAGGTGGTCGATGCCCCAAGCCTGTCAGTGTTTGGACAATGCCCTTAACAACATGCTTCAACTTTTGGTCAGCCCTGAAGCGGTCAGGCAGGGGGACTAGATGACCGTGGTAGGTGCCTTCAAACTGAACTTGTCTATTGCATTCTAATTTGTTTCTAAGTGACTAAGATTTTAGACTTCTTTAGCTTGCAATACGTATCATAAATAAGAAAGGCAAAATATTTCTGTTCCGCTGCCTCTAACCTTATATTGGTCCGAGAATTAACTGATGCATTATTCAGTGTTTTTTCATTTAATTATCTCTTTGCTTTTCATAAGGAAAAAATGCCAAATACTTTCAAACCAGAATTGGGGCCCTTTGGTTGGTTTGTACTGAACATTGCAATGCTATTTTCTGCGTAACAGATGAGGCCAAGCACAAGCTGCATGCAGCCAGTGCTCTCTGATGTTGAGAATCAGTGCAACTCCTACTCTGGGTTAAAAAGATTTGGAGAGAACAGTTGACGAAACACTTCTCTGGCACAAAGATTATGGGCAAAGTAATGTTTATTTCAACTTTAAGGAAATCTCAGGCAGTTTCCTGAAAGAGCTGTGTTTGGATAGTCACTTCCAATGCAGTGATGGCTTCATACCTGTTAAGCTGGAGAGATGGTGGAATCTCAGCTGAGATCTGCTACCTGAATCACGGATGGAAATGGATCCTGACATTTTGGCGCTTGTTGGTATGACATGCAGAGGAAAGCATGACAGGTGTAACAGGCAAAAATTTCACATCAGCTTTTTCATCAACCATTTCTTTCAACTTGCTACAGAATATCAAACTGATAACAGTTAATGAATCAAAGATATGGGAAACCTGTTAGTAAATATTGCCATGGGATAAGACAACAATCACCTCCAATTCTGACTTGTGGTAGGGATTGTTGTATAGGTTTTGTTAGTCTATTTATTTTTCATAATTGTGTTTCTTTTTTGTTATTTGCAAGAAACAGAAGAGATACAAAAGCCTCCTGGTTCTGTCTAAAATGAATTCCAAAAGTATATATTACAGTCATTCTAAAACCTGAACAATTTCCTTTTCTTGTGATTGCAGATTTCATGACTGAAATAGGTGATTATGCAAAGATTGGTTTAGAAAGATTATTAAGAGATTTTAGTTGGAAATTGGTTTTGTGCTTGAAATGGTGCAGAAGTATATGTGAAGCCAGTTAGCAGATCACTAATGGTTTACATATGACAGTTCTCTCAAGGTTTAATGCAACATTAGGAGAAAATACCACACATCCCTAAAGTTTGAGAGACCATATCGTTTTATAACGCGTAGGTTATTTTTTTGTGGAACTTGTGCTATTATCGTTTGACAGGAATTAATTTCTACAGATGTAGAAGAGAGATACTTCATGGGATCTTTCCTCTAGAAGGATTAGCCATTTTTGGTGTCACCTTCCTCAGGATACCACAGAAAACCTTCCATGGGTCTGCAGTTTGCAGAAAAGGGGACAGCCGTGATTGTAGCAAAAATTTCTTCCAAAGTTTTGAATCTTGCTTCCAGTTTGGAGATGTATCTCAATCCTGTGCTCCTGGTAGATCCTCCCAGATTGCAGATGGACTGGGAAACTGAGGTATCCCCTTGTGGCTGGGGGTAGCAGGACAAGGAGGCATTCTATGCTTTTCTTCACCATGAAACTTAATTCTCTCTTGGATTCCCACCCTGCCTGATCCAGGGTTATGTCACACCAAAAAAGTACAAAGTGCTTCAAACAAATGAAATAAGGGTCTGTACTCTGAAGAGCTGACTAACAGGAGAGTGAGCTCAGGATGAAAATGTACGAAGCAGGCAAGCAGTGCAGCATTATAGTACCAGCTCAGGTTCAATATAGCTTTAGTTCCACACTTGTAGAGAAATAGATGTACGTGGAAGTATTTTATATGCGTAACAACTTCTGATATGTGGTCTCGTGGAGGGAGTCCCTGCCCATAGCAGGGGGGTTGGAACTAGATGATCTTTAAGGTCCCTTCCAACCCAAACCATTCTATGATTCCATATGATTTATGTACACTTGAAGCAAATGAACAGAACAAAAGTAGAGCAAATAACTAATCTCTAGGTTATTTGGCCTGCACTGTGTTTATACCTCAGCTGACAGTAGATGACAATCCTTTCATGAATACATCAAACTCTGAAGTTCAATGAGAGTGTGGATAACTCCCAAATGTGGTTGCTTATCTGAAATGTATCTAACCCTCTTAAATCTGCAACAGCGAGATGGAAATCCCTAAACACCAGACCTTACTTCTAGAATGACAGGGATAAAGCCATTAGTGTTTTTCCTGTCATAAACTGCACCTGTTTAAAACCCAGACACTTAGCTGGGAACTCAGTGGACAAAGATAGAAAAAGAGGTGAACAAAAATTTCACCATAGTTAAAATGTGCTGTGTTCAGGCTTCTTGTGCACGACACATTTAAGCATCACTGTATGCTGTCAGTGCCTGGCACAGCCCAGGGGAAACACAGCATGTCCGTCCTTCCACATCCAGCCAGCTTCCTTGCAGAAAATCCCCTTTCCCTTTGGAGAACCTCGTGTACTACAAAGGGACTGCTGCAGGACCTTTACTGTATGTGCAGTGTGGCCAGGGGCTCTGTTGAGGCCAATCTGCATTCTTTTTTTCCCCAAAGTCTAGGGCTCAGCCTACACCTTTTTCACCATGCAGTGTATTTATACCCGATCATCGTATCGGTGAACTCACCTCATCTAGATGTAGTTAGGTGTGTCACATGTTGGAGTGGTTAAACATGTCATGGGTTTCAGCAGAGATGAACATAAGCGTGTTAGGGACAAATGCAGCAAAGCTGTATTCATACTGTATTTCAGCAAAGGTGTTTGTGTCTCAAATCTGTGCCATAAGCAGAGAGCGAATGCATTTAAAAGTGTACTAAATATTATAAATAAAAGCAGGGGACAGCCTTCTCCCCAGGGAGCTGGACTGGTGTTTGAGCTGTTGTAGTGGTAATGTGTGAAAAACCCTAGAGTGGAGTAGACTGAAAAATAGCGCTAGCTTTGGCGAATACTGTTGGAAGAGGATCATTCAGAAAGGATGCTGTTAAGTGAAACTGGACCCTAATTCAGATCACATTGAATGGAACATTTTTTACAAATTCTCAGCTAAAGAGGCTTCCAAAAAATGATTATTAAAACATAACATTTTGCCACTGTTAACAACCTAACCGTTATAGCAGTGGCCTGAAAGTGAGGGAATAAAAATTTACTATTGGTAACAAAACTGTCTAGAATACGTTTTTCACAGTCCAAAAGGAGAAATGCAAATACTGTATATTTATAGTCAACCCTCAGAAACTGGGAAAATGAACAGTGAATGAGCTGTTTTCTTTCTGCTTTTTATAACTGGAAATATTTTCCCCCATTAAACACTTGGAGGCCAGTGTTCCATCTTCGTATTAAATATTTTCTCCAGCAACAAATATTGACTGCAGGAGGATACTATCTAAGTAAGAACAACATGACTTGGTTCATGGCTTTTATGTTTGACAGTGTTCCTTTAATGCTCAGAAGGACATGTGTATCCACAGTGTTCAAAGGTAGTTTGTGTATATGTATAAAGTTAATGCTTTTTTAAATTGAGGAGGGTTCTCTGTAGGGTTTTGAAAAGGAAAGTCTTACAATTCTGCTTCTATTGATGGGGATGTTAAAATTCCCAGTGGGAGCAGTCTTAGACCAAGGCTGAGCATTTCTGAAGATCTCACTTGATACTTGAAATACCCTTAAGCTGATATCTTTGTCTCTTCTTATTTTTGTTAAGTGACACAGAGCTGTTGGCCTCAACTTGAGTGAAGAAAGCTTTTCTATGACAGCAAGGGTTGGCTATGTTTAGTTAGCTAAACATAGCTGACGAAACTATAGCTCCATGGCTATGGAGAAGATGACTGCACTCCCTTTCCATTTCTGCTGTTATTTATGAGGGTCTCTGGTGTATTGGTTCAGTGGTGTTTTCCAGAAATGTGGAAGAGGGAGAGAAAGGATGGACAGGTAGTTTGAAAGCTGAGATAAATTTGATGGAATTCACCTCTGTTCCTCCACAGTCTGGCATGTCTTGGGTACATCACTTAGCTTCTGCGTTCTTCAGTTCCCTCTCTGTAAAGTAAGGGTAATACAGCTCATATTGCAAAGGCCGTAGCTATGAGAGAAATCTGTTCAGGATGGTGAAGTGTTCAAATTCTTATGCAATGGAGGGCAGGTACATACCTCAGCCAGACTGGAAATGATACCCCTCCAAAGCAATCTGAGCATTAAATATTGGCAGCTGTAAGCTAATCAAATGGACTTTGTTCAGAAATACGATGCAGAACAGTAGATGAGAGAAAAAAATGCAGAAGGAACTTGAAGACGCAGCCTTCTTGAGTTATCTCAGAAAAGGCAGTGAAAGGCAAATGTTTCTTGAGGCTGAGACACCTCTGGCTAACATGATTACATGCTGTAACGTGATAGCTATTGGGAGGCCTTTGCAACAAGCTTGTAGCCGAGTGTCACGTGAGGCACCGTAGGGTTCTGAGGTGGTTAGTCCCGCTTGCTTCATTACATTATCTTTGAGAAATTCCAGGGGACTTGGAAATAAACAAGTGCACAGTCCTGTTGCTGTGCCTGGCAGGGTTGGGCTGGGGTGGTGTGTTTCAAATAAGAAAATATTTCATGTGCGCTCAGGGATTAGTCTATGTGGCTTTATACGTTCTACTTTCACAGATGGCAGTGCCAGTAGGAATTATTACTATTGTTTTAAAACTCTGGTAATCACTTGCTTTCGTGCCTTTGAAAGTATAAACAGCCTGCTTCAGAGGTTTCCTTGCCACAGTTGTATTACTCATACTCCATTTCTTGCTTTGTTTGCTGATAGAATACGTACACCAATGCAGACAAGCTTTTGGAGGCTGCAGAGCAGTTGGCTCAGACTGGGGAATGTGACCCTGAAGAGATCTATAAAGCAGCCCGACATCTGGAAGTACGGATTCAGGACTTTGTCCGGAGGGTGGAACAGAGGAAACTTCTTTTGGACATGTCAGTCTCCTTCCATACCCACACCAAAGAGGTAAGATGTGCATGAAGGAGTTTTTCTGTGTATTGCAGAGTGCTACAAGAGGCTGACTGAAAAATCAGATGACAGAGAAAAGACATCTTCACCGCACAGGGCTGATACCCAGTTCCTCTGATGCATATGACTAACTGTTGTAAAAAGGAAACAAGATGTGAATGATGCAGTGCACTAAAATATAGCGACAACATATCTAGCATACCAAGCGGTGCTTAATTCGCAACTAGAATGTATTGTTATAAAGCAAGAATTCTCTTGTAAGAACATGAGTAGATATTAACATGTTAGGTATAAACATGCTAGCAGTGTGATTCAGAGGGATTCCATCTGAATGTAATGTTAATTAGCGTAGCCATTATTATTAAGTGTTACTGGAAATCTTACATTGTTTAATGAGGCAGACTTCACTTTTCAAAATTACGGTTAAAGAGCAAATAGCCACATACTGATACAGTGAATCAGTGAGGACCTGAATAAATGCTGTTTAGTGTAATTGAAAAATATCCTGAGATAAGGCTGTTTCGCCAGAGACGCAGTGGACAGGACATCAAATGGGAGGCCACTGGGGATGTAATTAAAGCATACTTCACATTTTTCTGCAGACCAAAGGCCATTCGGTGATGAGTGACTTTAAAGATAGGGTTTCTGCTGAGAGAGATGGAATTAGTCAGAATGGTTGTTTTCATGCTCTGCAGCATCTGTTCGTAAAGGCACACTTGATCAGAAAGATGCTCTTAGAAGCTGAATGCTTTGCTTGTGTTTGTTGATTTACATGTTACAAACAAGTTGTGTATGGCAGGCTTCAGCGTGTTGAGGAGCCTCCTTAAATAGAAGGTGTATGCACACGTTCATATATATATACACACATATATATCTGTATATATGGAAGATAGTTGAAGTTATATTGTGTCCACTATAGCTGTTGATACATGAAGATTTTCCTTTTACATCCTGGTTCTGCAGTATAGTAAAATATGGTTGCTTTAAGCTTGTGAATAGCACTATTGTTCCCAGAGCAGCTCAAACACTTGCAGCTATGCTGGTTTGCCGTGGGGGAAACTTTAATTGGTTATTTCCTCAGTCAAAATTATTTCATAACAGTTTCCTACTGTGATTAACCTCGGTTCACCTATGCAGGTGGTGAACAGTACCACAAAGATAGGCATGATTCCAGGAAGTTATCAGTATAATATGTTTTCTCATGATTACTGGTACTGTGGAGACTAATTTGGGTTTGGGAACTAGAGCTTCCCTCTGTGAAGGGTTTTGGATTGCAATGCACTATACTCACTTCTACCCTTCTTCAAGAAGCAGGGGTTTTGCCTGCTCCACTCATTTGGTTTTAATGAGCCCTGTTTTGCTGTATAGAAATGCAAATGTATAAAAATGCACTTTTTTTTTGGAAACTATTAAAAAAGCAGTCTTTTGTGACAGCATCAATTGTGTTTACTACATATTGAGAGTAAACCTGAAATCTCTGCCTCGTTGACGTTTACCCATGGGACAGATTGGTACTGTGATGCCTTTTTGGAAAGCTCAGTAAGTACTTGCTGTCAGTTTTAGGGAGATCCAGAGTGGACAGACTCTGGGTACCTGTCTCTCCAGAGGGACAGATGAGAGAGCTGTAGCATAAAACTGGGACATCAGCAAAGTCAGAGTGAACCCAGGAATCCACACTTACCAGAACAAATGACAGCCGTTGGGTTGGGTGCGAAGAGGCTGCTAAAGTTATTGCAGCCTCCAGCAGCACCCCAGCGTCAGAGGATGCACAGTAGTTCTGCAAGAGAAAGGAAGTTTTCACTTCCTTACCCTCGTGTTAATTCACTCCTGGGGGGGGCAAACACTCTGGTTTTCTGCAGGTTCACTGAATTCCATTGTGTGTCACTACCTGCCTCCTGCAATGACACCTTTCTGCACTGGTGGGAGTCACACAGCCCAATACCTCATTTTTTTTTTTGCCAAAAATAATAAGTGAGGAAATTGCTGCGGTGTCAGTATTTGCCTGCCAGCTGTGCGGATCCCCACAAACAGTGAAGTAACCGAAGACTGTGCGGGGGGCCCTGGTGCAAAGGGCAAAGCATTATAAGAGAGCCTGGGCACGTGTTTGGATCTGTATTTGCCTTTTTATGCTATAAATAGATTGGCTTAAGTAGAAATGACTCATTGCTTGGCCTTGCTTGGCCCTTCATGTATATTGTAAAATGGCAAGTTAGCCAATGTAATTGTCATTCTTCAATATGAATATAAACCAGATAGCTGGATTCCTCAAAAATGAAGAAATACAAATGTCCTTCCTTTGCCACCATACCTATGATAGCTTTATGTCCTTTCTGTGTTTCATACCAACTGATCTCAGTTGGTTCCTCCCTGGGCTCTGACCAGGAAATGTGCTCAGTCCTGGTGAGACCTCCCAGCCTACAGAGCTGGGCTGGACCAAGCGCAGATTCTTGCTCTAGTCGCTCGCCCACTTGTCCAGGTCAGATCCGCACCATCCATGCTCTTTTTATGAAACTGCTTAAAAATAAATTCACTGTATTTCCTGGGATTTCAGCCCCAAACAACAAAGATAACATTAGATTCCAATTTTAAACTCAGGATTTATCAAGCAAAATTCACTTTGAGTCAGTAGCAGTTTTAGAGTTAAAGAGTTCAGAGTCAGATTTAAATCCTAACAGGTGTCAAGGCAAAAAATCCTTTTGCTGCAGCAGTAAAATACAGGGAGACCTGAGATCCATTGCTGCTGTTTTACCAGGAGGCATTCCAGTTACAGTGCTGACACATGCCTCCCTGATTAACCTTGCCCCTCCTACCTGCCATGCTGGGCCTGATGCTGGACCGTACTTTGCCCATCCAAACCCATCACCTGGGACTGTCTTGGGGCGAGGAGAAAGTAGTTTGGTTGGCATGTTAACGTGTTTAACGTGATGTATTTTGTATTATTCTAGAAGGCATTATTAGTTACTTAATAATAACTGTCATTATTCATTTCACCCTTTGTAGTTCTTAAAACCACTTCTTAAACTATTAACAACTGTTTCTCTTATGTCCTTGGAAAAGAATAAACAGTTCCCTTCATGTTTTCTTGGCAATAAGGCAGGAATCTATGGCCTAGATGTATTGTTCATCTAAGTTTCCCAAATTTGCATTATTTCTTGATATATTAATCTACGGAGACAGAACTGTTGAAAAGGAGAATTAAGTAGAAAGTATCAGTCTTACTGACATGTTTTTTATGAAAATATTCTAAATATCTTCCTGCAACTAACATGTCACTTCTGACATTCATCCTAGCCCAGATGAATTGCATTTCTGATGTGATAATTCCCAGGGTGAATGAGTGCATTGATTGTGAACTTCTCACTGCTTCACCTGTACTCTGCCTACCTCTTCATCTCCACCTGTGACTGCTCAGATTCCCAGCACCTGAGAAACTTTAACAGCTCCCATTTTTAAAAGTGATCCTGTCAAAGAAATGTTTCTTTTTGTAATCTGCCTTGCTAGAATTTCTTCAGGACAATATATAATGTTGAATTAGGGAGTCATTTAAATCCAGATATCCCATGAGCAATGAAAGTTAAGAGTGGCTTTTTTATACTACAGTAGACTTGAATCACTGCTCATTTCATGTGAAAGCATTATAAGAGGATTCCTTCTGCTAAATACTGACTTACGCAGTTGAAGGAATATGGAAAAGACTGTCAATTAAGCATAATAATAATTTTGGGGGTTTTTTTAAGTGGCCTTACTTAAGAATACATGCAATAGGCTGAACTGATGGCTTTCTGGTATGGTAAAACATTTTAGAGGTATAAATGTAGAGCAGTCCCCTAAGTGATTGTTAGTGTCATAACTCATTTGTAATGTAGTTGTCCTATTTCCATGCCTATAAAAGAGATATTGTGTGTCCCACTGTCTTACAGTATTCATTATGCTCTCTTAGTTTATAGTCAATATTTTCATACCCTTTTAGGCCAAGGCAGTCCTGACGGTGGGAGTGGAAACCTGGTACCTTGGGAATCAAACCCAATTACCTGTATGGCAGGGTAAAGTTATAAATTATTATCAGTGGGATAAATGCATTCAACAGACTTATACCCAAATAATTTCTCTCAGGATTGAGTGTGATTGAATTCAGATTCTTACTTCGGATCTGAATCAATTATTGGCAGGATTGTCAGATCTTGCAGTTTTATCACAAATCTCATGATAGTTGATGTTTTACTGTGAGCTCTCAACTGCTAGGATCAAGTGATGATACAGGATTCTTGGCTGTCATTTCATTTTGTTTAAAAGAGAATAGTTTTTGAGCCTCCTGGAGAAGAGGTTGCAGATGTGATAAAATCACACCCTGAAGACTCAAAAACCTCAAGGCAAATAATAAAAACATCTTCCAATTCATTGTCTGAATCTTAATGTTTTACATTGGTCTTGCAGTTTTATACTTATGGTTCTAAAGTGTACTTTACAATTCCAAATATAAAAATGTGGAGTACTGTCACAGTTTCTGTATCATTAAAAACTTTTTAAATCCTCTTGGATAATTAAATCATGAATTAGCATCTTGTAAATCTCTTTACTTTCCAAAAAGATTTTCTTCTCTGTTTAGCAGTCATAGTTTTGTTTTGCCTGGCTTAAAGTGGCAGAAAATACTGCTGCCAGCAGTTTCTGATACAGCTTCAGTGCTGGGGGTTTAACAACAGTATAGAAAGGCTTGGGAATTACTTTTGTCAAGTAAGTGTTGAGATGAAGCTACACATAGATAGCTGTGTGTGGGATCTACATGCAAATAAATTCTTGGCTTCCTCAGTGGGATTGTAAGCTTTTAGGATTAATGTAGGTATTTAAGAGCAAGTATATGTACCTCAGTGTATTCTCTATATAGCTGAAGTAAAGGTTTGTTGTGTTACTTGTATTGGCTGATAATTTAAGAACAAGAAGGAACTTCGCTGAATTTAGATCCATTTACAGTATATGGGTCTTACCTGAACTCCAGAGCA